CTGACGCGCTATGGCAAGCGGTAATGAGCTTTCATCCAAAGTAAAAGGGAATCGCTCGCGCGTCCCTCGTCCCCGCTCGCGGCGACCGCCCCGATGGCGGCGCTCATTGTGATTCACACTGTGCTCTCCTTGCACACCACAGCGACCAGGCCAATGGCGAGACCCGCGTTCCGTTCGCCTCACCCGGATCCCGTCACCCACCTCTCCAGCCCCAGTTCCGCCGGCGCCGGCGCTCTCCTTCCGGCTGGAAGAGCAGGGGGGGGGCTTGTGATGGGAGTGCTGGAGTCGCTGCACACGACGTCCAGCAGACTCGACGCGTTCCACGCAGCGGCGATCCACCACCTCGTGCGGGCGCACGTGGCGCTGCTTCGAGCGACCCTCAGTCCAGTCCGCCTCACCGCGATGATCCTCTTGTTGCTGGCGCGTGTCTGCAGTCGCGCTGGGCTGCAACTTTCGTCGACATCAGCCGTGGCGCCGCAGCATCTACCATCGCCACCAACGCCGCCACCGACGTCCCCGCCGCCGCCCCCGCCGCCGCCGCCGCCCCTTGCGGCGGCAGTTCCCACGCCGCTGCCGCTGCCGCCGCCGCCGCCTCAGACACCGCAGCCGCCACCAAAGCCGCTTCCACCGCCGCCGCCCAAGGTGCCCCGAGCACTGATGCTGGAGCCCAATCCTGCCAGCCGCACGACCAGTCGCTCTCCAGTCGAGTGCCCAAACTGCCTCACGCGGATAGAGTCGACGAGTGATAGGGTGCATTCGGCAGGTGAGGCGCTGGCATACAAGCAAATGTTGGAGCGCTCGGGCGTGGGGTCGACATCGTCGTCCTCGAAGCTGCCTCCGGCGAGGCCGGGGCAGCTGCCACTCACGGCCGGACAGCTACCGCTCACAAGCGCGACAAGGCAGTGGAATGGGGAGAGTGGATACACTGCCTACCGGCGGCCGCAGACGCCAGCTGCGCCCGGCTCGCCGCCGCCGTCGCAGACACTGCCGACGCAAGCGCCTCCGCACGCCCCTGCCCAAGCGGCTCCTAAGGCGGCTGGCGAGCGCCTCGCATTCGAGCAGATGCTGATGCGTTCCGGGGCGGTGCCACTGAGGAGGCTGGAGCTCGGCGATGCGACTCTGCAGCAGGCGCCCGTACCCGCCCCGTCCACGTAGATGCCCCGCCCCACCCTTTTAGAGACCTCAGGGTGCTCCTTGCCTCGCAGAGCCCCGCTGCCTCGCTAACGGACGAGGACCGGGCTAACGGGAAGCGACTCGCTCACCAGCAGGTGCCGCCCCATCCACCCCCCCCCCCCAGCGCACGGTGGCCAACTGCGCGCTCTCGATTTCCCGCCTCGCAGTGGCTTAGTCGCATCGAGGACAAGAAGCAGCAGCGAAAGCTGAACGCCGCCCTCGCTGGGCAGCGGCATCAGGACTCGCCTTCGGGAGCCCCCTGATACTTCGCCTGAGGGGTTTGCCAGGCGTCGGCCAGCCCCGAGCAGCCGAGTCCGGCCCGTGCGTTTTCCTCCTCCGTTTCCTCCGTTGCCGTGCTTTGCGCCAGCCTGGATTTGGCACCGTCGTCGTCTTTCTCGTGCCGGGAGTTGGGCTCAGCTTGCCTACGCTCCTCGTGCCGCGTTGACCGTTTTTGCCTCTCTCTGTTGTCCCGAGCAAGCAATCCGCGGTGTGTACGGAAGTATGTACGCCTGAGCTTGTCTCGGTGTGTCTTTGCATGTCTGCGACCCCGTGCGCACGCTAGTCGCTATATCTCGAGATCTTTCAAAATCCGTCGAAAATCCGCGCGGGGCAGAGAGAGCAGCAGAGGCAGAGCAGAAACAGAGAGAAAGGACAGCGATGCGCAGCAGCGGACTGTCGCTACTGGAAGCAATCGTTTTTCTCTCGTTGATGGAGGGTTGAGACTGGTTGATGACGCCGCTCCCGCCTCGGCGAAGCTTCTGCTCTTCGAGCACCCGCGTGCCCCGTGAGCAGCCCGAAGTCACATCCACGCAAGATGGTGATGCCGCCGTTGACATCATGCTCGCCGAGCTCGACTTGCTTGAGGAACTCGCAGCAGACGAGCTGAAGCTGGCGCCTGGCGCAGCACGAAGGCAGTGGGCGGCGCAACAGCTGTCCCTCAAGGGCTAAGTTTCCTTTCGCTCCCCCTGTATCCTGCCATGCTCACCCTCGACACCAACTCTACACGAGCTCTAGAAGGGTGAAGCGCACTCCTTTCGAATCGGGACTCCCAGCGAGTGGCGGAGCTGGCGGCGCTGGCGGAGCTGGCGGACGCCCAAGACGCCCTTCATGGGCCCTAGACCGGTTGCGGGTGCTGACGCCAACCCGCCTCCGCAAGCAGTCCGAGACGCAGGACGTCCAGATCCCCCCTTCCGCGCACAGGCCAAGGGCCTGCGGTCCCATCACACCCCGACACACACCAGTGTCTAGAAGAAGGCAATTCGGTTATGACAGTCTAAGAGTATGACATTTCGTTTTTTCAGTACGTATACGCGACGCGTCGACTCCTCTCGTAAATCTCACCCCCCACAGATCTCTAGCTCAGCCTCAGCAAGATCTCAAACAAGCATGCGATGTGGGCGAGTGTGCGGGTTTGCGCAGCCTCTCACACAGAGCCGGCTGCCGGGGCGCGTCGGGCATTCTCTGCAGAAAGACGCCCGCGCGCGCCTCGGCCGCACACGGCGCGACCTCAGCGGGGAGGCGCCCCATTCCCCTCGCAGGCTCACTCATAGCTTGTGAGGAGGCATGCGGTGCTGCTGTGCCGGCGGCGCGTGCGGCGGCGGCGGAGCAAAAGCGGGCGGCGCCTGCGGCGGGCGCGGCGGCAGCGGCACGGTGGCGGGCTCGGCGGAGAAGTTGATGGAGAGCTGCAGCGTGTCGGCCGTGCGCCCCTCCGCGCACTGCTCGAGCAGAGAGTACTGCAGGCCGAGGCCGCGGAGCGTCTCGAAGATGTCTCTCAGCAGCTCCTGCGTGCCGTCGGGGAGCGACCCCCAGCCCCACCGCCCCACGTAGTCCGCGAGCACGCCGCGCCGCGGGATCGCCTCCACCTCCTCGCTGCTGCCGACAAGCTGAGGCTCCGCCGAAGCTATCGCCGCAGGCGTACTCTCTGCGGACGGAGAGTCGGCCGCCGCTGCGGCGGCCGCCGGCGCGCTCTCATCGCCGAGCCTCCGGCCCTGCGCGGGCCGCCCGCACTCCTCGTCGGCGCCCCGCTTCAGCGGCGACCGCGCCGCGTCTCGAAGTGTCTCGGACGCGTCTCGCGCTGCGCCCACCGCTGGCAGCCCGCCCGCCGCGTCCCCCCCCAAGACAGGGATGCCGCCCCCTGCCTCCGGCGGCGGCGGCAAGCCCGGCAGCAACGGCGGTTGAGGCGGCGGCGGCGGCGGCGGGTCTGAAGGCGGCTGCTGCGGCGGCTGGGACGGCTGCGGCGGCGGCGGCTGTTGCTGGGGCTGAGACGCCGTGGCTGCTGTCGCCGCCGCCGGTGGCTGCGGCTGCGGCGGCTGCTGCGGCGGCGGGCGGTGGGCCAGCTGGAAGACGACCTTCCAGCAGCGCGGAGAGTGGCGCGACGCGCCGCCTGGCTCGGACGCGCCCGCGCCAGAGAGGGGCTGGCTCCCTCCCGTCTCCTGAAGCCACTCACACGCGAGCGCCTGC